AAGTAAATCTCTTTTAGTACACATTAATTTATTAAGTTTTTTACCAATATTTTTATGTTTTCTGTTTTTCTTCATAAACCTTATGTTTCAGACTTAAAGGAAGCAGAGAGTAATTTTAAACACCATGCTATGCGTCAGTGTGCAATGCTTTCTAGAACTCATTACAGTGGCATACTTAGGATATGAATTATATCCCAAGTAACACTTAGGATTACGTTATGGAAGACAGTTACATAGCAACAACAAAACCTAAGTGTCCCTGCTTTGCTTCTATCTAGAGTTATGACCTTGTACGTCATTAACCACTCTGGACTTTACCTCCCTTAGCTATGACTCTGTCTTGAACTGACACAACCATACTTACAAGCATGTGTTGAACAAAGGGAACTAAGACAAATGAACACTTGATTAATAACCATGCCATTTGTGAGACCTGATGCAAAAGGTAATGGCTTCCCTTCTCCCCAGAGATTAATGTATAACTGATGAGGCTGGAGCTATTCATAGAAAGTACATGGAAGACAGCAAACTGGGCATAGCCTTATAAGGTATGGTTATACATACTTAGCAACCAGTTCTAAATAAAAAAAGAAATGCCATTTATTTGTATGTAACCCTTGTTAGTTTCTTTGATGTAAATATCCACTGGATATTTACCAACTTGGATAACTACCAACTTGATTTCACTGATGGAGGAATTAGGAAGAAATACTAGAAATACTTTTAATCCTAAAATTTGTATGAAACAGAAAAGATCTTAAATATTCAAGGCAATCTTGAGCAAAAAGAACAAAGCTGGAAACATCATAAGCCTTGACTTCAAAATAGATGATAAAGCCATTGGAACGAAAATAACATGGTGCTGCTGTAAAAACAGACACATTGGCCAATGGAACTGGTTAAAATTCCCATAAAATAACCCTGAGTATTCACAGTTGATTGATTTTTCCAGAAATAGCACAAAGAACCCAAAACAGAAATCTTTTCAGTAGATGGTCCTTTGGACACTGGATATATACTATGATAAAAATGAAAATGAACCTTTATCTCCCACCATGTGCAGAGTGAGATAAATGGATAAAGACTCAAATGTAAGGCTTGAAAATGTGAAGTTACTAGAAGAAAACACAAAGGAAAAAACTCTATACCATTGGTCTGAGCAATGATTTCTTGGGTAACATTCCAAAAAAAATAAAAGCAAAAATAGACAACTGACACTGCATGAGGCTAAAAGTTTTAGAAAGCAAAAAAAGGCAAAACTGTAATGACACAGCCCATTGTTGGGGAGAAAATATTTATGTGCAAACTGCACAGCTAATGAGGGGTTAATATTGAAATTCACAAAGAATTAACAGCAATTCAACAGCAAGAGGACAAATAGCCTTATTCAAAAATGGGCAAACAATGTAAATATACATTTCTAAAAATAAAAGCTATAAATGAAAACACAATTTTATAAATGTCCCAAATCTCTAATCACTAAAGAAATATGCATTTAAATCACCATGAGGTACTTGCCTCATGCTTATTAGAATGGCTATTATCAAATGATAACAATGGCTGGCATATATGTGGAGAACAGGCAATCATGGTACTCTCCTGGAAATATAAATTTATGCATTTTGAAAAATAATACAGACTTTCTTCAAAAAAATAGAATTTCTATATGACCTAGCAATCCAACTTCTGGTTATATATTCAAAGGAATTGAAATTGGTAGGCCAAAGATAGCTGAAATTTTGTGTTTCCAGAATTATTCAGAATAGCAAGGATACGATAGCAACCAAAATGTCTATCAACAGAAGAATGAATTTTCAATATGAGGTATGCAAATACGATAGAGCACTATTCTGTCTCTTGAATAAGTAAGATCTGTCCTTGGTGATAACATGCATAGAATGAGAAGGCATTCCGTTAAGCAAAATAAGCCAAGCACAGAAAGACAAACATTATATGAGTTTATTTATAAATGAAATCTAAAAAGTCAATATTGTAGAAAGAAATAGTAAAAAATAGTTCCTAGAGGCTGATGGGGAAGGTGAGAAGGGGGAAAGGGAATACTCTGATCAAAAAGTGCAAAGTTTCTACACAAGAAAATTAAGTTTTAGTGATCTATAGCATCTCATCGTATCCATGGTTATTCATTATTTGTACTTTTAAATTTTTAGAAGAATAGATGTTTAACATTCTCACTACAACAAAATAAGCTGGAACCAGGCACAGTGGTGCAAGTGTGTAAACCTAGCCCTTGGGGTGTTGAAGCAGAAGGATTATCATGAGTTTTAAGTTTATAGTGAGTTCAAGGCCAGCCTGAACAATATGGCAAGACTCTAGCTCAATCCCTCCCCCCCCCACAAAAAAAGAAAACCTCAAAGAAATAAGTTGGAAAAGTGATGAGTATGTTAAGCTGCTTGAGATAACTTTTATACAATATTTACATTACACTGACAGGGTGCTCCACAGATATACAGAAACATTTGTCAACAAAAATAAGAACAGTAAGTCCCCAGAATACTTGTAAGTTCGATTTGTTTATAAGTTTGAAAAAAATGAGAGTTATGTATCTTTGACACAGATACACAATGTAAAGCACAAAGAAAGACACACACATGCTACTGTAAATAATGCTGAGCTCTGATGGAGCACTGCACTACTGTACACTGTTGCACTGTACAGTAAACACACAGTACAGAACTGTGAACACATCTGGCAGACATGTGAGCCACTGCTGTGATCTGTTTGCATCTGCAAATGTTCCTAATATGAGTTACATCCTTATCTGTGAAAACTCTCAACTTGAATGACCGTAAGTTGAACTTGCTGTAAATACATTTTTTTAAAATCTTTAAAAATTCTACAAATGAGCTCCCAGGAGCCTGTACAGTAGAGATGCAGCACAGCCACCTCCCTTCACCGGTGAAGTAGGCACTGAGCGGGGAACAATAGAATTCCACTGAGCACCTCAGACACAGAGGAAGACGTATGATTGCAAAGAAAAGTAATCTTAACGAAGAGGTTTGGGATACTCCTAAAAAGTATATCAAAAATCTCTCTAATAACATTTTCAAGAGGGAGGGTGCATCGTGTGTTTCAAGTTTTGGATACATAACCCCAAGGCAACTTAGAAAAGAATGTTTTTAAATTTCGATGTGCGTGTAAATTTACAATCTATATTTTCTATTTTAGAACTATCAAAGACTATTCAAATATAAAAATAATAAAACATGATGAAATAAACATTTCTAAAATTAAAAAATAAGCTTCCCTACCCCCTCATCAAATCAATTTGTAAGTAAATGAAAGCTCTAAAGGCAAATCACAGCTTTGAAGGATTTGAATAGCTTTCTCCATGAAGAAAAAAAGTGAAAGAGGAAGAAAAGAAAGCAAGAAAAGGGAGTAAGAAAGTAAAGAGCAACAAAGAAAGGGAGGCGTGCAGGCAGAACAATACAAAAATAGTCCAGCACGGCTGGTTGGGAGAGTGGATGCTGCAGGAATGCAGTTCTTCACGTGATAACTTCCCAGGGCAAAAGTTCCGAATTTCTGTGCCCATTGCCTTACTGAAGAAATGAATGTTTTCTCATGGAAGTTACTACCTATTAAAGTAAAATTTGAAGTAACACTGCCTGGGATAAGTTGAGGTAGGCCATAATGATAAATGTAGTCAAGGCCAGACACACTGAGCTATAAGGAAGTAAGGGCTTTGATTTAGAAAAACTTAACATCCTGTTGGTGTTGACATGTTAGATGGCAAATGTGAGCGCTCACTTAGAAGTTTCATTACTTCAGTAGGAAAGGGAATATTTAAATAATTTGTACAAATGAGTGAATCAAAATTTTCCTGAATTGATAAGGAATTATTCACTTTAATCTCATAAATATTCACAGCCCATCAGAGAAGACATTATCCTAAGTGGAACAGAAGTTGGTACAAGATAAGGGACTGTGCATAGGAGGTGTGTTCAAAGATAAAAGCACAATAACCACCCTGAAAAAGTTAAGCACATAGCACAGGATGATGAACTGCTCTCTAAAGTACAAGCAAGAGTGGCAGATACTACAGAAGAGGTGAAAACACAGAGGCCGAGGAATAACATACAGTGTGGAATTTGGAAAGGCACTGTGACCTGGTTTTATTTATAATCATAACTTCTTTTTTACTCTATACATGGAATATTTTGCTTATGCAAAAATAAGGAAGTCATTTTTATTTCAAATAGATATACCAAGCTTCATCACATTTTTTTTTTCTCAACTGTCTTTTAGCGGTGGAAAAATAACTTTTTAATGTATTTCCAGCTAAGTCAAAGGGTTTTATAAACAGTCTTTCTGAAGACCTTGAAGATCAGTTCTTGCCAATGAATTCACATGTACTTAGGGCTGCAGTGATGGTTGAATCTAGAAATATGTGTTAAAATTATTCTTTTCCACTGAAAGATGTTACGCTGGATTTAACCTTTAAGTACTGCTAATGTCTTATTAAAATTATCTGTTTGATAAATTTAATAGTAGCATTCTAGTGTTTATTTCTCAAGGATGGAAGAGCATAAGGGGCATGTTAAAGACAGAATCACTCAGTCCGGATAAGGCGGGAATTCCATACTCTGCATAACACCAGCTACACTACTCAAGACCCAACAACAGAAATCTGAAAAACCTATTCAGTCAGGTACACAGCCACACTGGGAGACACAGTACACTGAAATTTCTAGTTACTCAATTTTCAGCTTTCTTCACTTAAAACACTTTACTGGCATCACAGCTTAATGTCAGATTCCAGCTATTCAGAGAAAATAAATTAGCAACTGTACTAACCATATATCAAAATGAGTACTATGAACCCCCCTAAAAAGGTCTGTGGGGTCACAGTGTGAAACACTGGCACTGGAGCTTGACTCAGTAGGTTCACATCTTAGCTTTACCCCTTAATAATTCTCTCAGAACTTTCTGCATAGGGAAGTTGAAATGATTAGTAAGTAAAGACCAATAATATACTGAAATCATTTAAATAGCACACATATGTGAACTTTTATTACAGCTCTGATTCAAACTGCGTTTCTAAATCTTTCTTTTCACACACATGTACATTTCTTTAAACATGTACCCTATTCTAGGTATGGCATTAGAAAAAAAAAACTGTTTACATTTTCAGGTTTTGTAAAACTAAGTCAATATCTTTTTTTTTTTTTTTTTTTTTTTTCATTTTTGTCGGTACCAGGGATCAAACTCACGACCGCCTGCTTGCAAGGCAGGCACTTATGCCGCTAAGCTAAATCCCCAGCCCCTATTAACTCAATATCTTACAGAGTAAGATCTGTGACAACATTTAAACCAAGATGTTTTCTAGATTGACAACATGTAGCCAGTAAAAGATGAAAAGTGGATGTAATTGATGAAATTTAGCAAATCTGAAACATAAAAAACCACATTAGGTAAAAATAATTATGTCTCAAAAAACATTCTGGAGAGAAATTTCAATTGCTCTCTTCAGATTTGGGAATGTTTTCAAAAGATAGCTGAAACATCCTGCACTGAAACTGAAAGATCAATGATTTTTAGATCTGAAACTTGAATCTAATTCAGGTGCTTTCTGTTTTTCCTGAAAACTATCCCTGGTCTTTACGTTGTTTCTAAAACTTCATGTTTTATGGCAATTATTGTATTTATTCACACAAAATTTTAATCTTTAGTTAAAGCATAGTTAACTAAGCTATTATCAAGCATTGTCTTAAATTTCAGGTGTATGATATTATTTTAAACTTAGTTTCTTCCATGTAGGATTCTTATGACTCCTCTTTCTACTTTCAAATTTTTAGAGAAGCATCCCGTTATGTTATAAAGGGATGACAGGAAAGACAGAGCCTTTTATATCACACACACATGGATACAAATTCAATTTTTCCTCGAAGAGGAGGGGACAACACCCATCCAAAGAAGGGTGCTGAGAAGGACATCAAATGCACGATCTGCATACATAGTGGAAATGCAAAGGTAGTTTGTTCCAATGCCACGTCTTCCTTACACTCTGTCCATCATCGGGGGACCACAGCAGTCCACAGCTGGTAGATTCAAACATGACCAGTGGGGTAGCACAGGTTTTATTCATTTTGTTCAGAAGCATGCTTTCAACAGAGGAAGAACTAGTGAAAAAAAAAAGTCAGTTTTCAATGTTTCTTTTAAATGCAGTAACTTAACTATATTGAATTCTTGATAATAAAAAATTTAAAGTGTATGTGGATATACTAAGAAACTGTTGGTATAATATTACTGAAAGTAATCAAATACTCAGCCAATTGTTTTATGTGTATGCCCTCAGTGAAAAACATTACAGATTTATTTAAAAAGTCTTTTTATCTAAATTCATTTCTTTCCCATTAGTGCTTTTATCAAATAACACTTTCTAGAATATTCCTTTTTGCATTACAAATAAATACAAATGCAAAAAGTGTTATTTACCTGAAAAATGCCTCAGTTGATTTGTTGTTACAAATTCTACTCTGGTCTCCTCGGGAACACACTTCTCGGAACACACTTTTAAACCTTCTTCAAGACTTACATCCAAAAAAGAAAAGCTGATTAAAAATTCAGTCTCAACAACTTTAACTACAATGTGTGACAAAGCATTAAAACCAGGTAGTAATTACCATAACAATACAGATTTGGAGTTATCCAAAAGGTAGAGTCCTGACTTCTGATTTCTGATTGCACAGATATAAAATTTACTGATATTTGCTTTTTCGTGTCATTTGCATACAGGGATTAGGAATAATAGCATTTCATCACCACTGAGGATAAGAACTGCATGTTCCTGGCTCTCCAAACTCACATGAATACAGATCTGAGTCAAAGCACCTGGGGAGCAAAGAAAAGGCTAATAATGGGTCTTCCGGGGATCCTCAGGGGACTAATAACTCCAGGTGGTCTTAGAAATTGTGGAGAATGTCCCATCAGGAGCTCTTGGGAGGAAGCCAGATCCACACAGCTGGTGCAGTGTTCAAGTCCTCTTCACAGCCACTTCACTATGGGCCTTTGTCACTTCCTAGGGTAGCCCTGCAGTGAGCAGTAATTATATCACGTTCTATAGATTACCACTCACCAAGTAATTTCTCAAATGTCCTCCTTAAGTGATATTTGGAAAGCCACAGACATCAGCTAGGAGGAGACAGTGAAAGGTGCAACTTAGAAAAACAGGGACTAAAAAAGGATGGGTGGCCCCTCAGGGCCCCGGGGCCATCCCACCCCATCTTTCTCTTTCCTTTCCCAGGGCTTTCACAGAAAACTCTTGGACTATCATTAAAAATAAGGGAGTGCAAGGTTAAGACGAAGCAGGCATTCATCTTTAATTCTTGTTTTTGCACATTTGAATTCTCTGGTTCTGCTCTTCACGGTGATATCACTTTTAGGTTGTTATTATCAGTTCCCTGATTTATCTACTGCATCAGAGAGAAAAGGCCCCTGTGTAGGCCCCCACCTGTGGTTATGAGAGGGTGAAATAACACGTAAAAGGTGTCTGCGCCCAAAGCCTGTAAATGGTATGTACCCAAGAAATGGTGGCACTGGGAATAGCTGTACCTGATCATGGAGATCCTCCCTGTTACATTGTGTGTTAATATTTTTCAGCACCATATAAGGAACATCAAGGAACTTCTAAAGGAATGGCTGTGTGCAAAATTCAACTCACAGAATCCAAAATCTTTAAATGCCAACCCATATTTACTTACTCTTTGGACAATTACCAAGCACTACAGTATTTGTGTATCAGCCTGGAAGCTAGAGACTGGAGATACAAAAGAGATAAAGATAAAATATTTACCCTCATATTTCACAAACAAATGATGGAAGCCTATGCACTATAAAGACTAACTATAAAGAGATTATATGAATAAATAGCAGATTAATAAAGAAAAGCCTTTTAAAAACTTTTTTCATATGTGAATATTTTTGCTTCTAAATGAATTTACTCCCACATTTATTATTCTATTATGCAAGCATATCTCAATAAATGGTTATGTTTTTCCAGGTCTACTAATGGCAAAAGCATTGGAGCAAAATAAAATATAGCCAGCTCCCTGCATTATCAGTCTCTGAAACTTTGATGCACTTACTTCCAGTATTTCAAAAGCCTAATATACTTTCTCTGTTCACAAGGTAGGCTAAGACATGAAACAGGAAATAGAGTAATAAGAAGAATGTCCCCTTCCCACGAGGACTTGGGTGGGCCCTTCTGAAGACTCACAGCACTTGTGGGAAATCAAATAGAAAAGGAAGAGTTGGAGGTGTTGCAGCATTAGAGAGCACAGGAGTGACTGGGAGAGATCTTTACAGTCATGTGCTAGGTCCAGTGAAGTCATTTCATCCAAGACTGCAAGTGGCCATCTGGATCCCATCTAGAGCTTCTGCCAGCTCTGTGCCAAAGGAAGCTAAGGACTTAGTCCAGAATTTCTTAACCCCAGTTCTGATTATGCTGCTCAGGGTAGGTGTGTAACGAGGTATATGTCTAATAAGCAGCTAGCAATTGAAATCAAATAGCACTTAAGTTTCATTACATGCTTCCAATTGTGTGGTGTAAATGTTTACTCAGCACACGGCATCAAATTTATCCTCAGGACAAGGCAATGACCTGTCAGAAATGACATGATTTAAACTGTTTCTTAAGCCCAAGTATTGTTTACAAAATTCTTTAGAGACTTCCTTATAAGTGTTAACTGGAAAGTCGAGATAAGCCTTTGTTTATAGCATCCAAAATCTTAGCAAATATTCTAGCATGTGAGTTATGAATTAGGAAGATTTCATTATTTTTCCTTAGGAAAATGAGAGCTATCTGGTCCTGCAGAAGTTCCAAGTCCTTGGGACTATTGCATTAAGAAGTCTTTCAGTATTTATGGGGCTATATGTGGAGTAAGATCAAGACCTTGAAGAAGTATAGCATTTAAAAGAAAAAAAAAAGAGAGAGAGAGAGAGAGAAACATCATCATTTTCCTCAGAAAATCTGATACATTTTCTACAATTTGTTCTCATGAAGGGCCAATTCTCTTTATCACATAAGATACAAGTATGTTCTAGTTGCCCGCCTGTTAGGAAAAAAAAAAAAGATTGCAAAGTTACATTTATTGCCATTATTTTCCATGCTCATTCAGCATCTCTGCCATATCTTGGAGCCCCCTAAGTCACTCACTTTGGTGACTTATGACCCAATCTTTTCATTATCCTATCTTGTTTTTTTGTCCTATTATGCTATATAAAGTAAGTTCATAACATATAACCAAGAAGACCAGGACTTGAGTTTGAAGTCCTAGGCTTGAGTGTCTTGAATACATGGATGGGTCCAAACTTCAGTATTTGTGAGGTTTCCTACACATTTTGATGTGTAGGTAGGGTGCATAATTAACTGTTTACCAGTGATAGCAATACTCCAAACCCATGCTACCTACCATCTATTAATATGTTTTTTAAAATAATAATAATAATAATATGTTTTTCATGAAAGACATTTTAAAAGTATAAGAGTGAATATTATAGATCCACTGTAGGCCCATGAGAAAGTAACCTTACCTATAGGTGAGAATTCTGAACACTCTCAAATCTGTACACCCCTTACCCAGAGACTGATCTTAGGTCAGACAATGTGTGTTCCTTATGTTGCCAGTAAGTGAGACTAAGAAACAAAGCAATATAAACCAAATGTGACAAGGTCCACTCATGTAATCGGATTCAGTGTTGAACTCAAGCATGATTTTATGTCTGACCTTTCTAATTTACTATCAAAGAAGGCTGATAAACTAACTTCTACTCAAAAGAAGGATGCTTTTGTTTTTTAAGGAGGAATACTATTATCCAAAATACAAAAAGTACCTTGTTTAAATATTTTAGGTGAAAAAGTAAAGCAGTTCTGATCCTTTATGTGAAGCTCAAAGAACCACTAAAGAAGAGAGCAGGCAATTTTAAATTTTCTGATAATATGTTTTATCAGTACAAATCAATCCAGGCACACTTATTATAAAACCATTTTGAGGGAACGATTCTTTCTTCAAAATTAAGAATAGAATTCCAGTTACCATTCAGAGAATATTTTTTTATGAAAAATCAAGCTCTTCCCTTCACCTCCAGACCTAGCCTACTTGTTGTTATTTTTAAAAAGTATTATTGTGCATACAAATAGCCAGGGATTTTCTTTTAGTGTCTCAACAAATTTACTAAATAATATCTGAAGGTGGCTCCTGGGAACCTGTATTATTAAAAAGTTTCTTGTACAAAGGTGGGTTATTCAGTAAATAGAGTTAACATCTGGACAGGCTCTGGGGAAAAAAAAATAATAGATTGGGTTCATACCTCATATACAATGAAGCAGGTTAAAGTAAAAATAGATCATGACCAAAAAAACAAGAAAACCATAAATGAACAAGAAAAAGGTTATCATTGAATTCTTATAGTATTTCAGAGAGAAATACCTAACTGGGCTTGATGGCACAAGCCTGTAATCCCAGCACTTGGGAAGCTGAGACAGGAATTTAACTGTGAGTTTGAGACCAGTCTGGGTTACATAGTGAGTTCAAGGCCAGGATGAACCGCACAGGGAGACTTTGTCTCAAAACAAACAAAAAAGAAAATCAGACAAAAATACTTAGAACCAATGAATTAGAAGGTTAATTTGATAGTATGAAAATTATATATATATGGAATAAAGTGAAAATAGAAGGAATTAACTGAATGAAATGCTTAGTTTGTTTGACACTTAAAAAGTGTGTCTTTTTAAGGCAAAAGAGGCCAGCAAATCAAAAAGAAAAGAAATCCAACAACCTAATGGAAAAAAGAGCTGAAGGATTAGAACAGGTAATTCACAGGACAAGAATACCTATAAGCAAATGGCTCATAAACAAATGAAAAGACACATTTTTCATGGTAACCAAAATTATATGAACCAGGCATGGTGGTGCATGCCTGTTATCATAGCACTCAGGAGGCAGAGGCAGGAAGATTCAGAATTTGATCCCAGTCTTGGCTACAAAGTGAGCTCAAGGCTAACTTTAACTGCATAATGAGACTGTCTCAAAGAGACCAAAAAAAAAAAAAAAAAGTGAAACTTACATTGAAATATTTTTAATGATTTAGAATGATATAAATCTTAGTCTGACAACACACCAGGGTATGGAAATTGGACCACTGTCATATGGAGGGTAAATTAAATATCTATGAGTAACAATGTGGAAATGGCTACCAACACTATAAGTGGTCATGTCATTTGACCTAAAGATTTTTCTACTGGATACATATGAAAAGATGGTTATAAAAATTTATTTATGCAATATTGCTTGCAATAGTAAAATATTGAAAATAACCCAAATATCTCACCATGAAGGATTGCTTTATTAAACTAGGGCTGAACCACATAGGAGAGTACTCTGCTGCTACAAAAGACGGAGGAAGACTTTATGTGCTGACCCCGAATGACGTCTAAGAAATAAATCAAACTACAACATAGTATAGTATAGCATAGTTACTATACTACTTATGTTTTTTAAAGACAAAAGGAGAGTGTTATGGTTGGTATATT